GATCAAAATTGTAGAAGGAGTTGCATTTTAAAAGACTTAAATAAATTTCTAGTTTTACAGTACTTAGTAATCATGGCAACACTTTTTGTTGAAATCAAAAAACCGTTTTAGATAAGAAGATGGAGGAACAAGGCGTGTAAAATGCCTATAACTTCAAATGTATAAAGTCATATTCAGTATGTGAATTTAGTATTTAAAGTAACTTTCTTATCATTGAAAGGTATGAAATTATGACAAAACTTTTCTGCAGAAAATTCTTTCGGCAAAAATCATTCTATGATTAAAAACAGGAAGTGGTATTCTTGGGGTTCGAACCCAAGCAATAAAAATCCTTAGTGTTAATCTTTCCTTTGAGACAGGCTAACCACTGTACCACTTATACCAAACAGGGCATTTAAATCATGTTTGTGATATGACCCTTGACTAAATGGATTTCAAATAATTCTAGGAAAGATACGAAAGTTGTGCAAAAAAGTGTATTTTTAAGGTATACATGTTGTGGGCCTATGCTCCACGTTAATGTTAAATGAAATATCAAGGACAATTTTCATAATTGAGATTTAATTTTCACTTTTTGTTTTTCGCACAATAGGCATTCTGCTCGCCTATCTTCTTCTACATATTAGTATACTTTACTTGTGTATCAAGTCATACAGTAAAACTGTAGGAGAAGTTGCGTTTTGAAAAATTATTAAGAGACGGACAGACAGATGGACGGTCGACGAACACTTTAATAATGCATTAATTTTTCCGGTCTTTGACCAGTAGAGCTATTAACGCGACTAAAATCCTTATATATTACGGTCTTTTAATATTGTTCAAAGACAGTGGGAGGCCATTATGATGTGCGGATTGTGCTGGATGTAGGATGTACTTTGTAAATATTGTGTTTCATGCTTAAAGACTATTGTCCTATTATGTTTGATGATAGTGATAAGAGTATAGATAGCACTGGCATATATAGTCAAGTTTCAGGGTTGTTGCTTGTTACCTGATCATGCGCATCTGGTGCATCAAAATTAGTACCGTATATGATTTACATCCTTTTCTTTTGATTTTGTGTTTCAGTTTATTTTGTTTTATTACATAATAATTTACAATTCCATGGATCCTTTACAGGCTTGTATTTTACTCAGGTGATCGTTAAAGCCCTTGGACCTCTTGTTTTTAAGTAGGGCATATAGTGTCTATCATAAACATCACAATTGTTAGCCGAAAAATGATATTATGCCTTATTCGGTTTTTGTCATAAACAGTGGTCAAAATCAATTATTTCATTAATACGAAAGTTCCATCATTTCAATAGCTCAATCAGAAATAACAGAGATAAAGTTTGTTAAAAAATGCATTGCGCATCGAAAACTTTCACGATAAACAATCCTTACTATAATGCAGTTGTAGCAGAAAACACGCATGTACTGGGAGAGAGGAAAAGGTGAGAAATGTTCAAATTGACCGTATCTTGTTACAAACTTCACTACTAATAGAAATTCCGGACAATCACATTCACCTAGTGTTATGTTATTGATGAAAGGTCTTTCACTTTTACATAAGAAAACTTTCTACTTTGAGATTGACAGAATGCATCTCTGTTGAGATTGACAAGAAAACGGCAGGTAACTAATAACAGTTTACGACCAGTACAAAAATTCCAGACAATGTTGTCGAGGTTGTTGCAATGTTCCCTGCTCGGCTTTATCCTCCGAATGACCCGTCAAAAGCGCTTATAGGCTTCTGTTGAAGAAGTGAGGGTACGCCACGTGCTGAATTAGTTTTTCAAATTGGGCAATAAAGAAGGCATGTGTGTCTACGTTATCTATAGTTTTGTCATAAAAACTCTTATCTTTTATAGATTACATGGATAATCCTAATGGTATCGCAATGAGCGTCTGATTTAATTATGACCTTTTCCGACAGTTCATGGCAAACAGGTGACCTTAAAATTTTGTTTGCTTAGTTTCAAGCTACAAAAAAAAATTGTACCCATTTTTTAAAAATATTTCTACCATTCATATGCAAATGAAGTTTTTTCAACTAAATTTTAAAAAATCGTTTGAAACACCGTTTGCAAGACATCTTTCACTTGTTGATTATGCTTCCACAAGAGTTTGGGGACATTCCAAGTGATTGCTTCTCAAGACATCTCCTTTAAGTGTTTTCGTGAACATAACTGAATCTTCCGTTACATATTTGCCGTTCATGGCCAAAGGTAATTTGTTTGTCAGCAAACACATTAAACAATCATCATTGTAATAGACAAGAAACAGTTATTCTGCGTTCAGAAAAGAATCCAAAATACCTTTGGAATGAAGATGGCTATTCCAGAACCTTTGATTTTCAATACCTTTAAGAGTTGTTACCAATATAAATGCAAGAATAGTAGCAAGATATTTGATGAAATTGTTGTTTATTTTAATCTTTTCTTAATGGACTTCGTGTTGAGATTTTTTCTTTTGTATGCCCCCAGATAAAAAGGTTCAGAAAAAATACTTTTGTCTGATTTTTTGCCTGCCTGTAATAAAACATGATAATTCACGTACTTGGTCAATTTGAGGAAAAAGAAGAGGAATGGTCAATTTGGGAAAAAAATGAGGTCGGGATCAAGAATAGAGGTCATATGACTTTAACAAAATCACCGTGTTATCCATTTATCATTGATACAAGTACTTTCTTCGTTTTTTTTTTTTTTTTTTTTTTTGTTTTTTTTTTTTTTTTTTGTGTGTCTGTTCATTAGTATATTTAATGCACATATTTTCAATGATGACAAAAACACAGAGGAAACGCCTTACGGCTCTTTGTATGTTGCCAATTTTATTAATAGAAAACAATTGTGTTCTTTTCTCATTACGTTCCACTGCTTATTTTGAGTAAATTAATTTTTAGATAATCATAAGAGTGCAATATTTATTTTTCCTTGACAAGGTCATATAGAACATTAGGTAGCCTATTACCTTTCAATTGTGCACAGCTAAATTCATTTTATTTCTAGACACATTATAAAATAAACGAAATTTTCGTCGTCTTGTTACTCAGCCCTAGAGTATTAAGAGATTATTTTATCTTCATTTTTAAACTATTTTGTGAAGATAAAATCTTTTGGAGCAAGGAATTTATGATGTTTACCAACATGTGCAATAAAAGTATCTTAATGTTTCCCATGTGCAAGGTTTCTTATACGTCTTACGTTATAACCAGTTATCAAATAATTTATAGTTAAAACTAATTACAGAGCTGCATGTTTGCAATTGAAACATCCTGAAGGAAACACAGAATCAAATGGGAGTATTCTAAAGAGGGGTGACAGATCTATCACCAATCCTGCACGGTCAAATCGTTAGATCTGAATCGTTCAGGATAAGTAGGTAAAGCCCCACTTTTTCTCACTTCTTTAATCATCAAAATAATCACAGTTTCCCTTTATCATTAGCAACCAAAAAAGAATGAGACCCAGCTGTTCTTAATTCGTGCTTGGATGGGGATGCATTCGCTGTTATAGTCTCCTATGTTATGTAATACTTTGCAGGAAAATATCTTTTATCAAATCGAGCCTACTTTTTCCATACCATGTTCACATTTTGGATTTTTTTTTAAAAATATGTTTCTTGCGGTTAATCTTATCTTGAGCGATAATTTGCGATGACGCGACATACCGGAATGAAATGACCGTTGCGACTCTGAATGATAACCATGCCGGTCCCTATAATTGGTATGCCAGACTAAATCAGTTTGGGTTACCAAAATCAATTAGAATTTCTGTATTTCTGAAAATCTACAATGAATGATGTACAGAAGTTTAGAAAATATCTTTTCAGAAATGTAGAAGGGCGTTTTATTTTTTTTTTTAAATTTATGTATTTATTTTTAGAAAAGCTAAAGATCTTATCGTTTAGGTTAACATTATTGCTGAATTGGACATAATTGCATGAATTTACTAACAAGTATATTAACATTTTCCCTTTAATTAGGAAATTCATAACTGATAATCTAATACTAACATATAACTGCACTAAAAACTACGTTTTCAGTTGGAAATTTTCACTCGTGTTGGGACGCTAAGTGGCCATGTTGGAAAGCTGGTGGAAAGCTGCGACTTAAGACTATTAGCTGGTATTTATGACCAATGCGAAATGGAGAATCTTTTTCATGCCAGCATTTACTGCGACACGGGTTCTCTGTTCATATGGTCAGCCAAGGGATCGGTCTTGACGTCCTAAAGTGGGATTCGAACCAGCGACATAAAGATCAAAACTGCAGAACGAAATGCTCTAACCACACTTGATGTAATGATGTATCAAATTTTTTATCGCTCCGAAAAATTTTGCAAACTTTAAATTCACTAGGACATCTTTAAAAAATTGTTTGGTTGCCCTCTCCCGACCGAGTGCGGACCGACTGGCTAAACAAATCTTTTTTCAGCCTCCAGAAGCAATTATTTTTTATGCATTTCGGAATATTGATTTTGATAAATCAACATTGATTTTGATATTTTGTTGAAAAAATTTTCTCACCTACCTACCGACCCAATTTTTTTCATCCTGGGTCGGGAGAAGGCAAACACACATTATTTTAAATATAAATAAAAATAGATTATTTAATACTATTTGTCTAATCATTATAAATATATGTATACAAAGTAAACATCTGTTTATATTATTAAGGAGAACCAATGTCACGTATAGAATTTATGACGAAACTCGGCTAAAATGTCACATTCTATTAAAGTAACCATACGCTTTGTAAAACAGGAATATTCTATGCTTGAGGCATATCAAGGATGTATGAAAACATGTTGCAGGCTAAGACAAGGACAAAGCAATTCACTGTCAGTTTCAGTTCACCTACATTCCTAGACAAATCTTACACAAAGAGATACTAAATGCCATTGTAAATCAACTTTATTCAAGAGAAACTCGGATCATAACATCCCAACATCAACGTACAACTAAGTTTAACTGTCAAACATATTCAATTATCTTAACAATGAATAATAAATAACTTACCAAGATCAAAGACAATCAACTTCGGTTTACGGACATTGTTGTTTTCTTGGTCCATATCGAAAATCTTATTCTGTGATAAAAGTCTATAAAGTCATGTAATTTTACTGCATATGTTCCAACACTATCTGCAAAAACTGACCATAATACGGCAGAGTTAAATTATTGATAATGCTCGAAATTTCTATTCCCCTTCATATTAAACACTTAGGTCCCTTGATGACGAGAATACGAATTTTCTGCATGGCAATATCTGTTTCCACCACTGCAGTGACTGGGAGTTTGAGATGGCGCGAAAATGAATATATCATTGAGGAATTGATTGAACACGTGATCAGTATAAGCGTTATGTCCAAAACAAACTCCTCGCCAGATTTGTGAATGAAAGCAAGGAACATAATTATAAACAGCAAGAAATGTAATTATGAACTCAGTTTTAGAACCATAGCCTGGACTGTGATCTTTCAGAAACATTTACTTGCATTTTTGGAGTGCAGGCATGAGAAAACTACAATGTACGTCTTTTTAAAAGAATGACGATTCATTTTGTGAATTTTTCACCACTAATAATTTTCAAGTTCGATGAATTATACTTGGATGTTTTTAGCAAAAAATTAGTCTGCAAAAGCGAATCTTTTTTTTTTTTTTTGGCCACTTAGTACAGGCAAAAGCCGACAACGACCTCTTTATTTATGTGCTTAAATTAATTGTGCTTATCAAGGTCATTAACTGGTCTTGCAATCTCTGCCCATGTTGAACTTACAGTAAACAAGTCTGTTGATAAGAATTTATATATCTTGCTGATTGTAAAATTGCTTTTAGTCTCTTCAATCGACTTCTGGTTCGAATATTTTTTTTACGTCTTTCACCAGCTTTAAAGATTAAAGGTTTGCTATGGTTCCTTTGCATTTTTGCATTATAAAAGAAAGATTTGAAATACTACATACATGTACTTGAGGTGTTCAACGGATTTCTCTCTACGCTAAAGAGTGAGTGGTTTGCTGTGAATGAATAAATAAGTAACACACAGACTTCTGTTTGAAACACATCAATGTTAAAACAAGGTATTTATTTTGAGATTAAATCTTCCCTTGTTTTTAGTATGATACTAATTAAAATTTAAAATATAAGGGTAAATAAATGTCTATTGTATGTTAGAATTGTAATTGTTTTAATTATAGACTCATTTTGGTTATAGAAGTCTTCTAACGTTCAAAACATTTACTGGGAATGAGAAAAGGCATGAAAATCACAGAATTTTTTTCCGAGTACAAAATGGTGAAATGTACAAAATCGCAATTTTTTGTGGAAGTGTTGCAAATCTATTACAAAAAGTTTACTGCAAATAAAGTTTAATCTATATTCTTATGATTTGCACAGAGTCATAAAAATAATTACCTTAATAACTGAAACAATTCCAGGTTGACCCCTCCCTTTCTTAAAAATATGGAAAACATAAAAGTTAATAGACTGGGGAAAAAATCAAATCTTTTAGAGTATAAAAACTTAATATACAACATTGATAAATGCCAATAACCTTGACCTGACATTGAGATATCAGCAAATGATATATTTGTTGTTATATGTGTTGTTATATATTTGTTGATTGATAGTTGTTTTACGTCCCTTGCGAGAAGTAAGTGCCATATACCGGTGAAGGGCTTCAAATTTAAACCTTTACTAAGCACTCGGAGCCATTGAACAGTGAGGGTTCTATATCGTGCCAACCCCTACCATGACACGGGACGTCGTTTCTAAAGGTTTCATCCGAAAGATCGGCAACTTTCACTTCTAGTGCCGAGCGCTTGGAGAAGGATCAGTCACTATCTATCTTTCCGTTTAATGTTTTGACGCAGCTCTAGCAACGAGTCGAACCTCTGTTAAGGTAGTAAAGACCCTACCACTAGGCTACTGCGACCGGTGTTTGTAAGTTGTATGAAAAGAACATCAAACATCTGGGAAAACAATTGTTAATTGTGTGTCAAATATACAGGGAACAAAAAAAAGTTGTTGGTTAAACATGACAAATCCACAGCTTTTGATGTTTCCAAACAATCTTTGGTCGGTCTTTTAATTGGAGAAAGTGGTTTTTTCCTGCATAAACTTCAATTCATTACCCCAGCTTTATTTTCTTATATTTTAATTTTTTGTGCGACATCGACTGGAGTTCCATCGTCGTAAAGAAATTAAGACTTTATGCAGACTTTCAACTGAGTCAAACCGGTCACGGTAGCCTAATGGTAGGGCGCTCGCTTCGTGATCGGCCCGGGTTCTATTCTCGTTCGCAACCTAAGACGTAAACATAAGAAGTGGCTGTTCTTTCGCAAGCGCCCGGCACTAAAGTGAAAGTCACAGGTCTTTCGGATGAGACCTTAAAAACCGAGATCCCGTGTCAAGGTAGGCGTTGGCACGATAAAGAACCCTCACTAATCAATGGCCCTGAGTGCCGAGTATAGAGCCCTTCACCGGCTTACGGTGACATCTCTATATGAGTAAAAAATTCTCGAATGGGACGTTAAACAACATACAATCAATCAATCAAATGAATTAATCATTGCTTCAAAATGCGTAACATCGTAAATATTGTCACGTAGTCTCTTGTGGTTCGGATGCCTTAACTTTCAGTTGCTGTTCAGAATTCATCTATTATAATAGCCTTTGTTATCTGAAACTGCGGAGAGCTCCCTACAGGTGTACATGTAGTAATAGTCAGACACTAGGTGGATAATGGCATTTGACAGTGCCATACCAAACACTTTTTAAATCAGAAAATGGACAGTGCGCCAATTTTTTTTCACACTTGCAGTGTAATGATCATTATACTTTTTCGAATACAGGCAGGGATTTTTCCACAAGCCAGACACTGACACGATTAATAATAATATCATTGTCACTAGTATAGCGGAAATCTTTGGTATTTGTAAAAAAAAAAATAACATCTCATAAAGTAGCCCTTCCATTGATCATAAAATTGTTTTAAAGAGCTACTTATAATAATAGTTTCGGTCCATACTCTTGCCATGCATGTTCTAAATTTTGAACTTACCAAGTGGGATCATGTTCTAAACTTTGTATTTACTCCCAACAAACATGGCACTCTCCCCATTTTGTAACTTTACGATTCGATTGCTGAAATTACGTCCACCAAATAATTCCAAATTTCTAGTAGCCTAACTTTATAACGGTAATTTATTACTAGTAGCCTACCTTGTAAAGGTAATTCTCTGAATTCATTCTTAATGTAGAATTTCTATTCATAATATTGAAACTAGTTTGTCCTAGTACTTCTTTTTAGAAAAACAAAATCAATCAAAGAACCAAACGTGAAGGACATACACAGAATTAAAGAGCAAAGTTCACTTAGGGCCTTTTTTGGCCCTGTGAATTTCTGAAAAACTGAAACTGCTTAGTTTTAGTTGACAATGCATTAAATTTCATCTAGACATTAGGTGATTGCGAATCTACCAAAAATGACTTAATTTTCTGGCTAGTCAATGCATTATGACGTCATGAAATGCGTCATTTTCCCCATATCCTGAACAATTCTACAAAAACAGCCAATTTTTAAAGCTATTTTTCGATATTTAATATAGAGCGCAATCTCTGATCTAAAATATGCAATTATTCACTGATAGAACCGTTTCTGAGGATTACAAAACATGTTTTATTTTTTAGATCAGAGGGTGCGCTCATATTATTTTTCTTCTCTGAAAGTACTTAAATATACCTTTTTTCCTTAAAATTCAAGAACATTGCAATTCCATAAAGCTTGTTTTCCAAGACCTGGACTTTAAGGAGAAAAATTTTAATAGGAAATGAAAGCACTAAGTCTCTACTTTATCTTGACGTTTAAAATGGAACATAAGGTGTTAGTCAATAAATTGGTATATCTACAGGGCCATTTTATGCATAAAGTGAACCTAGCTCTTTATGAACATGACAAGGAATTCGAATGATATATACATGTAAATACAGTATTATATTAAAACACGTTACTTCTGGGGACTCTAGACCCTCTTACATACATGACCTCTACGCTACGAAATCAGTAGACATTCCAATTCCCTCTCGTGATTTACCTTCACGATTTCCCTTCTGTTATTGATGCTCAGTTTCTGACAAGAGAGACCATCTGCTTTTAGAAGTCAGGAGAAGTCATTATTTTAGTAAGAATGTGGCGTAACAACGCTATATATAAAAGGATGTCTCCTTGACTTCATTCCGGAATTTGTTTTATTAAGATTTTTTTCTCTTCTTTTCTATGAAAACACGAAAAAAATTATGAATGAGCATATGTTGCTTGTAATTCTATACGTTTCAAAACGTCCTCTATGATTATTTTGAATAATGGTTTGCATGTTGCGCTCATCGTGCTTTGTCTTTTTTAAATTTATTTCAGACAGGTAAATGACGAGGGTTATTTTGTGTAGACTTGGATGTCGCTTATATCATTATCAGTGTACTCTTGCTACAAAATTTTCAACAGGCGCTATTTTGAAAAAAAAAAAAAGAAGCAGGTAAGGTCTTGTTTTTGTACAAAAGGTTGAATAGAAAGTTAGAAAAAAGAACTGAGATGCGTGCACATCTATAACTGAGAGGAAATGTTACACTTGTAATGTCGTGATTTTCTTTAACAAAATCTCAATGATTCCATGTTAAAAACAAAACTTCCTTTGATAAACACAATGAATTATCAACATTTGAAGAAGTACAAACAATTTATCAATTGATATTTACAGAGGTAGACATTGAAGAGAATTGGAGGGGGATTGGTATACTTCAACATCGTGTCGTACTTCTGTTCGAAAACCACAATGTCTGTTTCTTAATGGTGGTCTCCACTTCATTCCAGGAACAGGCGAGAACACACGTCTGCTTGGAATCGCAGTTATAGCATACTTTCTGTTAATCACTGGTAATGCATTTTCTGTGTAAAAAAATATTGCAAAATACATGAAAAAAGAAACAAATTTTGGACTCACCCTTATCTGATTAAATACATTGAGAGAGAGAGTAACTTAATTGTCTTATCAGACTTGCACTGAGAGACAAAATTTGAGTCCAAACGGGATGTCGGATTGCAATGTAAAGAACACGGAAAACGATAGGGTCGGAATTCATTGTGAAACGGATTGCACAGGTGCTGGCGCGGATTCTCTCTCACTCTCATTAATATTGAAATACTTTTACTATATCAGGAAAAAAATATTTAATGCGTCAAATAAACAAAAACATAAAGTGAATTCATTACTTTGTTACGAAAATAAACACTATTATTGATATGAATGAAAGAA